GCCTTCTGACCGTCACACAGGCCTTGTTTTCCTTCCAGCCGTGGGTCGAACGGTTCTCGCTTCTCCGGCCTGCCAGGTTGCAGGTGGCAAAATCGCCACCATGGTGTGTGATGTCTCTGGGCAAAATCCCCAACAGGCGCGGTGCACGAAGCGGGAAATGAAAAAGCTTGACACGGGACGCTCTGGCAGGCCTGGCGCCTGGAGGCGGGAGAGCTAAGGAGCTCCAGCGGAGGCGGCCGCCGTGAGAGAAGCAGCTGCGCATGCCGAGCCACATGGCACTTGACAGAAGGCTCAAAAGGATTGATGCTTTGTAGGGGGTGCCAATGTGCCATTGGCTTTGTTTTGAAAAGGTCAGACAGCCCTTTTGACATGTTCTCTCCGCCATTCGCAGGCAACTTCATGCAAAGCTCCGACTGTGTGGTGCTGAAAGACGGAAATTTGGAGGTGCAGATGCGCCTTCCGAGTTCAACTCGTTTTTTCCTGTATTTCGGAGTTGGGTTCCGCTTAGACATCCACAAACACACATTCGCTTGGCAAGTCAGCCCTCGCGATGAGCAACTTCGGGGCCGAAGTTTACTCGAGTTTCTTTTTGGCTATGCTTGACAAGCAACGGACGGTAGGCGACTTCAAGGCCAAATTCGGAATCATGGGGGCCATGGAAGAGACGTGGGTTTTCAATCCAAGCAGGGACTTTCCCGCTCGCAACAAATCAGGGTTCCTGTTCGGGAATCGTTTGCCTTACCCCAAGCAAGGGCGAGCAGGGGATATGCCAGTTGTTCATTTGGCAGCGCGTCAAACGGCGGTGGTCCCAATGATTTTGCTGTTATTGTCTTTTCAGACTTTCAGAAGCCATCGAAGGGGTCCCAGTTTTGGCTCCTGTCAGCTCCATTCTTTTCAGGCTGGACATATCGATCAATCTGATCCATATGCGGAAAATCACATCAGCATCCAGTTACTCTTGAATTTGGACGTCTTCTTTTGATAGGTGGTAGTCTTAAAAAATATCGAAGGACGCCCGGAGGAACCCACTCAATTTGGAGGTTGCCCCATGAGACGCACCCCATCGGCTCGAGAGCCAAGCTTCTTCCGAGTGCAAATGCAGGTGGAGCGCTGTGGGGGGCCTGCCGCGTGGCACCAGGAAGGGTAGCACGCACACCATCCGTTTGCTCGACGTAATGCGCCATTTGCGAAAATAGGGGCTGTTGTTAATGAAGCATGACCTGGTGAGTTTTGACCGTTGCACCACAGTATGATTGGAGGAGCGAGGGATTTTGGCAGGACGATGTTCTGGAGCCGGTGGAGTCCAAACTCTACACGCAGGTGGGATGCTCACGGCCTGTGGATACGGGGGTTTCGCAGCGCGTTTGGCCAGGATTCAGGTGTATTTTTGCTTTAGGCCCAAAGGAGAGACTTCAGTTTTTGCAAATTTCCGTAATGTTCGCTACGCGCATGAGGTTCGGGGTCCCGTTCTTTTGAGCCACAGCGAGTCTTTAGGAGTCTATCGCAAAGATTGCGATTTCCAAGGGGGGTGATGCTTTTGTCAGCGCCTTCCACCTACATGGATTTTGTGACTGCTTGACCTCACAGCCTAGACTTTCGCGGGAGAAGCCCAAGAATAAGCCACGGGCCAGATTCAGCCCCTGTCTTCCATCCAGGTTTGGATGCATGCTTCGTATTCCTTGGACAAGGAAGCTGTAGAGCTAAGCTAGAACTCGTTCTGATACACATATACAGGAATAAATTCACGGGGGTCACTGCAGAGTCCTCCCCTCAAGTCCAAAATTCTTTGCGGAGAAGTGAGGCTTTCGGTTTCCGGTTGTTGAGATGGTGTGTTGTAGCGGCATTAGCGCAAGGCTTGTTCTCGACCGTGTTCAAGCAGGGTGACTGTTCAGCATTGCAAGCGAGCTAGACCCCATCAAACAGCTATGTGGATCATTTTGGTTCCATTTTGAAGCCAGCTCCGAAATAAGTCCCTAGTTTTGAGAGACAGCCACTGAGGGAAAGACATTACGCTCTCTTGAGCACCTTCCCAGGCGTTGCTTGACCTCCACTAGAATGGGCGCCAGGCGGGAAGCGACCTGCCCGTGGACCGTGAGACTG